CCCAATATTGCTTTATAGATTCAGTGCAGTTCTAGTCAGAATCCCAAAAGGGGGGTTTTGGTGTTTGTTTTGATGGAAAATAACAGTCATCAGCATGGATGAATCTCAGAAATACAATGTTGAGCAGAACATGAAAGTTGCAAGATTATGACTTCATTCTTATAAAGTTAAAAGACATTAAAGCTGTGTGACAGGTAAAAATATAAAGAAAAGCAAGAAAATGATTATCACAGAGTTCATTATGTTAATTACTTCTGGGAGGTGGGACAGGAATGTAATTGAAGGGGCTCATATAGGACCCTCAGCAGTGTTGGCAGTGTTCTAATCTTAAACTAGGGACTGGCTAAGCACACAAGTTTCATTTTTTATATTACTATTATTATCAGGTATGAAAACGTCTTTCTTTTGCCTTCAACCCATTTTTAAGAGAGATCTTTATAAAATTTGTTTTCCTCCAAGAGTTGAAAATTTGTAAAAATATTGCAATGAAAACCATATACCTTTCACCCAAATTCACTAATTGTTAATATTTTGCTATATTTGTTTTGTGTTTCTCTCATGCATTGCACTTATTTGTCATGTCTTTTCACATTCCTTTAATTTAAAACAATTCCCAAGCCCCTTCTTTGTCTTTTATGACATTGATATTTTTGAAAAGTTCAAGCTAGTTGTTTTATACAATTTGGAATTGTCTCATGTTTCCCTCATGATTGATTTGTGTTAAACATTTTTGGCAGAAATTCTACAAAGACAGGACGACTACAATGGTCTATCTCAGGAAGCACATAATGTCAGTTTCTCGCATTATTAATGGTGTTACTTTGATCATTTGGTTAAGGGGGTACCTGGCTGTTTTCTCCACTGTAAAAGTATCTTTTCTCCTTTGTAGTTAGTGGAGAATCTTAATTTGTGGGTGATTATTTGAGCCTGAGTGATTAAACAGTTGACCCTTGAATAATGTGGGTTTGAACTGCATGGGTCCACTTATACTTGGATATTTTTCAGTAGTAGACACTATGGTGCTACACAGTTGCTGGTTGGTTGGATCCAAGGATGCAGACGAACCCTGGATGTGGAGTGTGGACTCTAAGTTATGCATGAATTAACCCCTGCATTGTTCAAGGGTCAACTGTACTATTCCCCAACAATTTTTCATCAAACGGTTTTATCATGTGTTATGCATTTCTGTTATTTTTTCTTTTTGGTGCCCCAGATTTGGCTAGTTGGAACCCCTGGTTCATGTGTCCTTTTGTCCACCTGTGACCTGGTAAAACACTATGTTGGCTCACCTTGTATTTTGGCTGACCCAGTCCAGGTTTTGTTTAGTGCACTTTAGCTGCGCTCATAGCTATTGGAGTCTTGTTGCTTCTTGTTCGTTTTGGTGGGCGGTGCTAAGAAATATATGTGTATTTAAATTGCAAATTCATAATGACACCTCTGATTCCAAACCAACACAGGCTTCTTCCTGTCCTCCCATTCCATGTTTATAGCTCTTTTCTTCCATTTAAGAACCCTAATTTTTTTAAACATCAGCAGTATATTTATACTGATTTGCTCAGTCCTATAACATGCACAGAATTATTTTGGAACTCATACCATTACCAACAACAAACCTACTAAGTAAAGTTCAAGATTTCCTTGCACTTCTTTTGTCCTTTGCATATATCCTATGGCAGGGCTAGAGTCAGCACTCTGCAGAAGTTGTCTTAGATTAGTTTGTGTTTGTATTCCATTTTAGGGCTGGTTTTGTTTAAGTTTGAATATTATAAACCATTAACATGGTTCAAAGTCAAAACTAAGCTTGGGCAAGTTAGTAACTTCTCAGTGTCTCAATTTCCTCCTATGTAGGATTGCTGAGAAGTTTCAATGATGTAGTAAAGACTACAGAGTGTTTAGCACGTGCAGAACACCTACAGCGTCCAATAAATATGAGCTGTTCTTATTTCCCTTCTTTCTTTATGAATTCCTCCCAGTCGCTTCTCTTGCTTTTTACTTTTCCTGGTCTGTGACCCCAGGCTATGCATGGGGTGGGGTAGGTGGGCAGGTGGAGGGAGGTACTTGTTACACAGTGATGAGTGGGAAGGAAGAGGGCACATCCTTTATGTTCCTACTATGTGCTTATCACTGCCAGGCATTCTCCTTAACTCAGCGAGCCCTCACATCCCCGCAGGGTCTTTACAAGTATTCTTCCTCTCGTACAGACGAAGAAATGGAGGCTTAGGATGATGAATGCTCTTGCCCAGGGTTACTCAGCTAATCCTGGACCCTGGACCTACCTCACCCTCACCACCTGGCTCTGCTTCCCCCACCTGCTGCATCTCCCTCACTTAGGACCCAAGTTCTAGCTCACTGAAGGGAAACCCCGCTCAGATTTGGGGAGCACATATAAGGAACAGAGCAGGCCTGGATCCAGCCGGAGCACCGTCTCTATGCCTTCCTCCCTCTGTATCCCTCCCCAGTCTGGACCATGCTGACAGCTGGCCCTGTGGGAAAATGCAGTTCTCTCCAGTATGCCCGGTGACAAGTCCTCTATGCATGCTGATCAGCAGCTAGCACTTGCCAGCAATTGGCTACAGTTCTGGGTTTAGGCTGGGTTTATTTTTTGTATTTATACCTTGTGTGCAGAGATAGCTGACTTGGAGTAGGAGCGGGGTCTGGAAAATGAGAGAAGCAAAGGAGCTAAAAGCTAGAAGCTGAGAGGGAATTCAGGGGTCATCTTTGCTATCCCTCTGCCTCCTGACAGGACTACACCTACGGGAGAGCAACATTTAAAAGGGTAACACTGGGCAGTCTGGAAACTACTGGCAGCTTTGGGAGATGGACCCAGCAGGGACTAGCAGGCCGATGTTGAAGAAGAGAAAATCGGGGTGGAGGGGGTAGTGGTATGTGATACACTGATTCTTTCATCCCAGATTGCCCAACTGCAGGCAGTAAAGTTTGAGGATTCAGGATTTCCCTGGTGGTCCACTGGTTAAGACTTCGCCTTCTAATGCAGGGATGCAGGTTCAATCCCTGGTTGGGAAGCTAAGATGCCTCGCGGCCAAAAACACAAACAAAAAAAGACTGAGGCCTCATCTTGCCTCCCTGCCCCACATATTGAAGAGAAACTTAAAACCAGAGAAGGCACTAGACCAAGGTCACACAGTGAATTTGAGGCAGAACCAAGACCAACACCTGGGCCTGGTGACTGCCAGTCCTGAGCTCTCACAATGACATCTCAGAGGGAGCTAGTTAGGAGAGAGAGGTCTTCCCCTCCATCCACCGTGCGTCCCATGGATGTCGTAAACCACCTGAGAATTCTTCTGGTAGAATTCTCCACAAATTCTTGTTCATTGACTACTTGTATCTCCCCTGGTTCTTTCCCCCTTTTCTTTCTGCTTCTCACTTTAAAGAAGATGGCTTTTCCAGCTCTGCTCTCACATCAGGGCTTGACATAGTAAGTGCTTAGTACGCATTTGCCCTATGAAGATACAATGAATGGGGCAACGTGGCAACATCCTGTAAGGGTGAAGATTAGCACATGCCCTCAGACTGAGGAAGACCCCAGAGAAATGTTCACACACACGGCCACCAGGAGACATGCAGAAGGATGTTCATAGAGGTGCTCTTCACTATAATAAAATGTGCAAAACTACCTAAGTCTTCATGATCAGGAGAACAGAAAAGTTAAATTGTGTTTTCACACAATGGAATACCACACAGCAGTGAAAAATGAATGACCTATATCTACATGTGTTAACATGGCTACATCTCACAAACAGTGTGGAGTGGTAAAGCAAGTCATGAAGTGTCTGTAGAAGAACAGTAATACAAAGCTTTCAGCACATCAAAATCAGGAAAGTAGTAACCTTGGGGAGGGGGAGAAGTGGAATCAGATCAGAGAGGGTACACACAGTGCTCTAACTCCTTCAATGATGTTTTATTTTTGAAGCTGAATGATGGGTAAAGGGGGTTGTATTATCCTTGATACCTTTTGTATGTCTGAAATACTTTATTCTAAAAATTTTTTAAATGGAAAAAAGAATAAGTTAAAAAAAACTAAAAATGAAGTCCCATCCTATTCTCTTTAGCTTCCACACTATTCTTACCCCCTCCCTTATTATCTTTAAACCACAGATATACCTTATACTCCACTGTATATATGATATAACTCATAATAAACATATTTTAAAGGGAAAATATGCAAAAGGAAAGTCAGACATTGTAAGGTAAGGAAAACATCTCCTGACTAAAGTTGCTTTGTAACTTGAAATTTCCTCCTCACTGACCAGTATAAATACTGGTAGCTCTTTGGCCATATATGCTGCTTCAGGATATAACAATGGAGATGGGCGATTAGAACATTTCATTGTATATAACCAAAGAGGGAAAAGATTTTGCCAGTGATTTAGGGCTTCCTTCCATCCACCCATTCTTCAGAGTACATTTTCTCATATGTAAAAATAAATGCATGGGGCTTCCCTGGTGGCGCAGTGGTTGAGAGTCCGCCTGCCGATGCAGGGGACACAGGTTCGTGTCCCAGTCCGGGAGGATCCCACATGCCGCGGAGCGGCTGGGCCCGTGAGCCATGGCCGCTGAGCCTGCGCGTCCGGAACCTGTGTTCCGCAACGGGAGAGGCCACAACAGTGAGAGGCCCGCGTACCGCGAAAAATAAATAAATAAATCTGGTTGTCTATTTAAAAAAATAAAAATAAATGCATGAATTGTTCCACGAAGAGTTATTTTAAGAAACCTGAAGTAAATAGTAACCTTTTTTTTTTTTTTTTTTTTACCTTTTTTCTTTCCTGTGGTTTTAAGACTGAAAAAAAAAACCCTAACCATTATAAAAGTTTTATGGATCAAATTTGGATTTTTGATTTTTAAAAAACTTTTTTTCTAAAAGGGAGGCAGCTTAACACTAAGTATCTGTCTAGATGTGAATGATATTTTGAAGACTTACCAGTTTTTAATTGTCCATTGTTTCCTAAACTGTATTTTTAGTTTCATTTGCTCTCTCTTAGGGAATGAAAGATGGCAGCATGCCGTGCATTAAAAGCTGTTTTGGTGGATCTCAGTGGCACACTTCACATTGAAGATACAGCTGTGCCAGGCGCACAGGAAGCTCTTCAAAGGCAAGCTATCCTCCACGTTCAGCTGACAAATATGTTTGTAGGTGCCGTTTTACCAAGGCAGATCATTAGCTGAATGGATGGCCTTAAGGTGGCATTTCACCAGTTTACCATATATACAGGAACTGCCTTGGGCTTAGCTAGAAGATGTATGCATTGTAATAATCTTCCAGACATTGTTCTCTAAGCCTTTTGTTAGGTTTGGCCTTTTGATTTAGTCTTTTTGTTCTTTATGTGTATCTTTTTCTAAGTCGGTAGTGTAAATTTGGGAATGAAAACTCGAGACTCTGAAATGTGGAATAAGTAGCATTGGAAAAATCAAAAATGAATCCTGGAATCACAAAACGAAACACACACATATACAAAGCCATAGTTCCGCGCACTCTTCTTCATCTAAGATCTAACACTGAGTGTGCAGCTGCTCAAAGAAAGCTTAATTAAGGAACTTGAAATTTTAGAATTATTTCCATTAACTAAACTTAATGCTTTTGAATGTTAGAGATTGTCTTACATTTCTGATGCATCACCACAAGTCTAGATACAAAATACATAATGAAAGCTTGGTAAAGTGAACTGAATGTGAATGTTTGTTCCTCAAAAAAGTACTCCTCAGTACAACAGAACTAGTAATGTTATTAAGCATCTCATCTTCAAATAATTTAGAGTTTTCAAAATCAACAATAGCATGTGGTGCTTTGTCATTTTCAAACCTTACAATATTCACATAGTATGCTGTTGTTCAGGAAATCCGGTGACTAGTATCACAGTGCCAGGTATTATGGCAAGAGATCAACACTGACTTGGCACTCTCTCAAGGAGCTTACTCTCCATTTGGGGCTTCAGTGAGTGTGAAGAGATTTTAGATCTGGTAGGTGTCATTTGGAAGCTGTTGACTTAGCCAGCAGTCATGACATTCATTTTACAGGTGGACAACAATATGTTTAAAGCCTGAAGTAAATCAGTTGGAGACGGGCACTTTCTCTTGACTCCTTGCCATGGTCTCTCTCAGACTTTCTAGGGAAAAGGATGTCTGTCGGTCAGTCTCCTCTCCTGTTGGACAAGAGCTTTTACTGTTGGACAAGAGCTTTTACTGCTTCAAAGATGAGCTTTCTGCTCTGGATGGAAAGAAAAATCTTATTTCTGGTGAACAATGAATGACATCTCTAAGTACCTCTGTAAACTATGAGCCTGCCATTCTGGAGGGGCAGGAGCCTACAGATTGTTCTCTCACTGACACTGGCAGGTTTCCATCCCAGAGAGATTGCTATACTGTCACTGCCAGTTTTGGTTTCTATAGAAACAAACAGACTAAGGGAAGTTGAGGGACTAGCAAAAAGAAAAGGTTTTTAAAATGCTCGTTAAAAATGATATGATCATTTCAGTACTTAGACTTGTTCATTTTTAAGATAATAGTTACGTTGAAGTATTCAATTTCTTTTGAGAGATAAACTACCAAATTTAATGTGTTTTTCAGAAAAGCTACCATACAGATATTATAGAGGTAATCATGATTATAATGAACTATTTAATCATATAAATTTATGAATGCTCTTTGAGTGAATTCTTAAAAATCTCTTTTCTGTTTTATTTGCTTGCTTATTTTAAATTATGGATAGTGCTTTATGCCTTGTGTCTGTTTGGGGCAGGTATAAGATAAAAAGCAACAGGGTATTAATATAAAAATTTAAATTGTAGGTAAATTATTTTTAGGTTAAAGCACTGTGGGACCAAGAAAATAATTTTTGTTTTGAAAGAAAGCTGGATTATCATGAATTCTTTCTCTGATACCTGATTGCCAGTTTAGGTTCCAAAAGCAGATTATGGAATCAAAAGTAGTTCAAAGGGAAAACACATTCCAGTCTGTAAAAATGGAATGTTTCTTTCTCCAAGTAGTTTCTGTTTGTAAACTTAGTAGCACATTAGGGCTTAGCCAGTGTCTAATTGGCTAAGAGGAAGGAAGAACTCTTGAGATGTCCTCTGTTCTTTTAGTATAGGGGGTCAGACCCTGTCTAGGACGTAGGCTGGAGTTCTTGTCACAGGCCTACTGCTGCCCAGCTGTGTACAGCTGAGCCCAGTCATTAATCCTCTAGGCCTGAGTTTTCTCATCTTCAGAAGGTTACACTAGTAGATAATCTCTAAGATAACTTTCACCTCTCATATTCTGTGAGTATGGTGGTTACTAAGTGTTGAGTTTTTTTGTTTTATTTTTGTTTTTTACTTCTTTACTAAAACCCTGTAGTAAAATTCAGTTAAAGTGTAGAAGGCCCTTGAAAGGGTAGACTTTACAGCCTTTGGAGATGAAGCAGTCCACAGGGTGTGGATAATCTGTAAGCAATTTTTAATAGATTATAAAACCTACTGGCCATAAAAACACTTACTCAGTGACTTACTCTTAATTTTCTGACCTTTGGCAAGTGCTACCAAATTAGGTTTTATGGAGCTGGAATGTAAAAGTTGCCTATTGACACCTGAATTTTACTTTTCCAGGTTACGTGCTACTTCTGTAATGGTTAGGTTTGTGACCAATACAACCAAAGAGAGCAAGAAAGACCTCTTGGAAAGATTGAAAAAATTGCAGTTTGATATCTCTGAAGATGAAATATTCACTTCTCTGACTGCAGCCAGAAACTTGGTAGAGCAGAAACAAGTCCGACCCATGCTGCTGGTTGATGATCGGGCCCTACCCGATTTTAAAGGTAAGAGAAATTTGGAAAGATTTAAAAATTGGTTCTTCATATCTGCTTATAAATCATTCTTAAAACTGGATGTTTAGAAGTATTTAGTCAGATTTCCTCTGTCATCAGTAGTTTGAATCTAAATTGGTGTTTCTCAAACCTGTTTTGACTGCACTCCAAAATAAGTGAAACACATTACATAGAAATCCAGGATGTATGTATGTGTATTTGTACATGTTAAACAGTACTCTTACTTGTGAGATGTACTCTATTTTCCATTTGGCTTACTTAACTGTGTGATTTTGATACTGCTTAGAGTCCTCCAGATTAGTTTCACAATCTACTAATGGATCATGGCCCACAGTTTGAAAAAACACAGGTTAAGATTTCTTTGAGTATTATAATCGTCATTCTTGGAGCCACGGTATTAGTTTGATTATATGAGATAAACCAAGGTCAACTTGTTTAAAAATAGATTTCATTCTGTATGGATTGAAGTTTTTGCAATGACCATGAAATATTTTCAATCAAGAGAAAATAAAACTTTTCTCTTTGGAAAAATTAACAAACTGGAAAAATATCCTTGTGTTATGAAGCTTTGCAACACTGCTTTTTGTAGGTGATACTCAGAGTGAAATACACAATATAGAAAAAGTGGGTATAAATACATCATTATAAAACCATGTGATAGCTTTACAAATAATGATTAGAGAACTTCAGCATGGATATATAGTTAGGCAGAACCTCAGAACTTATACTATCAGGAAATATAACTGTATATCAATCAGAATTTGCAAAAAACAGAAACCAACTTTGGGTGAATTAAATAGAAAGTAAATTTATTAAAAGATCTGACTAGGGCTTCCCTGGTGGCGCAGTGGTTGAGAGTCCGCCTGCCGATGCAGGGGACATGGGTTCGTGTCCCGGTCTGGGAAGATCCCACATGCCGCAGAGCGGCTGGGCCCGTGAGCCATGGCCACTGAGCCTGCGCGTCCGGAGCCTGTGCTCTGCAACAGGAGAGGCCACAACAGTGAGAGGCCCACATACCAAAAAAAAAAAGATCTGACTGCTGACAGGATATAAGATGGCACAACTCCTGCAGAGAGGAATTTGGCAGTAGCTCTCAAAATTGCATGTGAAGCAGTACTGCCTCTTGTAGGAATCTACCTCCAAGATGCAGTAACAAAAATGTGCAAGGACATACGAATAAGGTAAGTTGTTCATTATGACCTTATTTGTAATAACAAAAGATTGGAAACAGCCCAAATGTTCATTGGAAGAGACTGATTAAAACTATGAAATGTCCACAAAATGGAATGCTTTGTAGCTGAAAGATAAGTAATGGCGAATTCTATATCCTGATAAGAGTGATCTTCATAGGATATATTAAGTGAAAAAATTATGTTATAGAAAACCTTACACGCTTTTATCTGTGTAAGAAAATGAGAGGAAAATAGATATAAACGTATTTGTCTTATATTTGTGGAAGGAAGCTGAAGGATGATAAATGAAAAACTAGTAAAAATGGTTATCTAAAGGGGGAGGGTGGGAAGAGGAGAGGTGATTTCTCTAAAAGTACGTTATTATCTAGTTTTGACTTTGGAGCCATGTGAATATTTTACATATTTAAAAGACAATTAAAAAGTTAAAAACAAACCAATCCCTGAAAACCAAAAACAGATTGAAACAAATGAACTCTATATAAAGTTGGTGACATAACCACTCAGAGAAAAGAATTACTTCAGATGACTTTAAAATTCAGTATTTTGACAGTTCATTCATGGGGGGATCCATTCTAAGGATAAAAGAACTGCAAAGAAATCTAAAACTGCATTCACTAGTATTAGTGTTATTTTGTACTTATAGATGTATTATATGATAAAGTAGTAGTTACGCTAGTATTGTTAGTACTCCAGATTTTAAGTGTAAGTGAAAAGAGATAGAAACATAAAAATCAGATGAGGTATGTATTAATTTTGAATTAAAAATATTATCATCTCCCTTATTCTCTCAAAAAGTACATATTATCTACATCTTCTAAAAAGGCATATAAGCAGTGAAGCCCAGTGGTCAGACTGGTGTCTACTATGGTTTCCCACTTTAGTTCCTTGGAGAAATGGGTGATTCCAGATCTGGGCAGGCGTTGTATGAGTCTGGGATAACTAATTGTTAGCAAGGAAACTATCGAAAACTAGTAAGGTCATGCCTAAAGGACACTGAAGCCAATTTGAAGGGATAGTTTGAGCATCAAAAAGAATACTGATTGCAATAGATTGCAATGCATCATACGTATAAAAAGTTCAAAATGATATTCATCCCACAAAACTCATTGGTCACTATGGGAAGTTGTTAGGGCAGTAACTCATTCTGAAAATGGATAAGCGAAACAAGCATTTATCCTGCCTTTCCTATTTTAACTTATAGTAACTAAACATTTGATGAGGGTAAGTTCTTTATAGAAGACTTATAGCTAGCAAATGCAAAAGGAATGGCAGAATTAGAAAATCACCATTTGGCAAACCCTAGTGACAAAGTGGGAGAGTGGCATGGACATATATACAGTACCAAACGTAAAATAGATAGCTAGTGGGAAGCAGCTGCATAGCACAGGGAGATCAGCTCGGTGGTTTGTGACCACCTAGAGGGGTGGGATAGGGAGGTGGGAGGGAGGGAAGGAGACGCAAGAGGGAAGAGATATGGGGATATATGTATATGTATGACTGATTCACTTTGTTATAAAGCAGAAACTAACACACCATTGTAAAGCAATTATACGCCAATAAAGATGTTAAAAAAAACAAAACAAAACAAACCCTAGTAAAATAGGCAACAATATCAATAGATTTTAAACACATTAAGTGAAGAGTTGATGGGGAACTTCAAAATGGAGGAATCAGGCTGACACCACTTGAACCTATTGATCAGTCTTAACATGACTGGAAGTAGAACACGCAGAACTCTTGTGCTTCGTGATGTGATATAATTGGAAATTCATAGCATTGCCTATAAGTACTCTTGCCTAGTAATTGAATGTGAACTTATGAAGCCTCTAGATTCAATTACTGGTTTAAAGGAAATAATAAGAGTAAAGGAATAAATTAAATAATATCACAAGCAATCAGCCAAATCCAGAATGTGAGACCTTTTCCAAGATTAATGATCTAGTTGCTCCAGTAAGTGGAGAGGAATGTTGCTATAGAATGAGATGTAAATGATAACAATCAAATACAATATATAGACCTTGTTGGGTGCCAATTACATATCAGATGTAAAAAGACATTTTGAGACATTTGGGGAGATTCAAATGTGGACTAGGTATTGAGTGATATTAAAGAATTATTTTAACTTTGTTGGTGTAATAATGTTAAGGTGGGTTTTTTTTTAGGTCTTTATCAGTTAGCGATACATACTGAAATATGAAAGGGTGAGATGATACTGGAATATACTTAAAAGACTTTAAAATATGTAGAGAATGGTAAATAAGATTGGCAAAACGTTGATGACTGCTAAAGCTGGGTGATGGGTACGTCAGGGCTCATTATGAGCTAGTCTTTCTACTTTTTAATATTTTTTACATGTCCATGACAAAAAGAAAAAAGCCTGTAGCCCACAGAACTAACTGCCCAGGGGAGCTGGAGGTTAGCCTCGGGGGCTGTGCGCTGAGGAGCGGCGTGTGACATCTCATGCAGAGCTGATCCGGCGCCCTCAGTGTCCCTGCTGAACACTGACCTCTGCAGCTTGCCTGTTCACCCCAGTAGCACTGGAGATTGGAAGTTCCACCTAGCACTGCTGCCTCAGAATTTCCAGTGAGGTTCTCCCTGCTGCTTTATGTTCCTAGCTCCCAGTTTAAAGCCCGGGGCGGGGTGGGGGGGTGCTTTTGATTGGCAGAACCTCTGTCTCAGGCCAGTACCCGTAGCTGCAGAGGCTGGAAAATAAGTGTCTGGTGTTTTCACCCTCTCAGGAGAGGGTGAGCTCTGCTCCTCACTAAGCCTTATGAACTAGTGGATTCCCTAATTATGAAAATGGTATTCAGAAACTGGGCTACGAAAAACAATGACAAATACATTCTATAATCAGTGTATTTATATTTCTGAGTTAGCTGAAGTACTGCAAAACAATTTTTTATTCAGATTTTTTACTTTATTTGAAGAAAGTTTCTAGTTGTGCAGTAGTGAGCTGGAGTTGACATTTATAAGCACAATCTCTGGTCTGGAAGAAATCTTTGTTATTTGATGTAAGACTAAACTTGCAACATGTTTGTATACATGAAAATACCCAAAGTAGATAGGTTTTTGAAGGGAATGGAAATATCTTGGCTAATATTGAATATCTTAGCCAGTGGTAGATGGAGATAATAAAAAGAACACATAAAACTCCAACTCTTAACTGTAGCCATTGATTTTATTTTCTTCCTTTAACAAACTTTAACCAATTACTCAATACTCATGGCTGCTGGTAAGGAGGAAATTGGAAATCTTGGGTATCTGCTCTTTCTACTTCTTCCCCTCACATTTTGGTAGAATCGATAATGAGAATGCTTAAAGGCAGGCAATAAGAGAGGCAAATAGGAATCGGCATATGGATAATGCACAGACACTTCAATCAGAGTTTTAATAACTGTGATGGTGGAAGTACTTGTTTGGTTCTTGTATCTAAAGTCTTGTCATCAGGTACCAAGGCCTTAAAACATGCTTTAATTATAGAATAATATTTGTGAAACTAGAAGTGGATTAGGTATTATGTAGAAAACTGTAGACCCTACAGTGCATTCCATATTTATCATGATGGTGTTGGCCTCAGCTGTTATCACCTAGAGAGTCTAATTTCCCTTGCCTGCTAGGTTTTCAGTCCCTCATCAGTTGCTATTGATCTTATAGCTCATAGAGAACTGTGGCTCTTCTTGTTGATTTTAATCAGTAAAGCTTTTTGAAGTTAGAAATTGTTGCTTGTTTGAGAACATCAGGTTACAGGTTTCAGTTTAGATCTTCTAGTTACTCAGTAGCTGTAAGACCATGCAAAAGGAATATACATAAATACTAGGAGACCTTTTTTCTTTTTTTAAGTTATAGCTGATACTTCCAAAGTACACTGGGCAGGATAATCTCTTAAACTTCAGATTATTGCTACAGCAAAAATTTGTTCTTGATTGACTAAAACTACTTTATCATAAAATGTGACATTACTGTTAATTGCATTTTTCAATAATTTTTTCTTTCCATTCCCAGGAATACAAACAAGTGATCCTAATGCTGTGGTCATAGGATTGGCACCAGACCATTTTCATTATCAAATTCTGAATCAAGCATTCCGGTAAGTCTTGAGCTGTTTATTTTTCATGTGATCATATACTCCCTGCTTCTCTTCTTAAGTCTTTGTCGTGTAAGGTTATACATAATTTACTTTCTGGCCACCTAGATTGTAGGTGTACAGATATCTTAAAGATCACTTCAAGATCAACATTAAATATTTATTACTGTCTTCCTTAGTTTTTTTAAAATAATCAATATGTTAAAATGTGATGATCACTGGGGTTTTTCCGGTTCTTAGGATCAATATTCTGGGGCAGAAATTCATAATCAAATTGTAAATCTAAAGCTAGGAGTTTTATCTTTTATTATCACTCCTGTGTTTCTTCACTGACTATGATCTCTGAAGGAAAATAAGATCCAGGCTAATTCACCCAAAACAGTAAATGTGATTCTTCCTCCAGAGAGAATCCAGGCTATCGAAAAAAGTTGGCACGTTTGACCACACTTTCAAAGAAATTATTCGACGAGTGATAATGGTAGTCTGATCTGTGATTGTGGCAGTAGGGATGAAGAAAATGAGATTCTGGTATTGTCAACATGACTTGATGGACAGTTGGGTCAAGGGGGTGAAGAAGAACAGTGAGTCAACATCTAGATATCTAACCTAAGTGCCTGTGATAGAGAACACTCCCTGTGTGGGTTCAGGAGGTGATGAGTTTAGGGTGGAGCTCTTCGAACTGTGGGCTATATAAGTGGAGGGGTTCCAACAGCTGCTGGTAGAAATTGAGGAACCACAACCGACATGTAAAATGTTATAAATCTTCAATTGTGTGTGCATTTTACCGGTATGAACTTTCTACTGCTACTTCCAAAAGGCAGGCTGCATACTGGTTCTCATACTTCCTAAACTAAATTGGATCAGAATTCATTTGCAAGTCTACTCTAGAGCGAGATTGTGATTTTTTTCCCCTTGGATTTTTCATTTTTTATAGATTTTTCATCTTGCCTTTTGCTTCTTGTTGAACATTAAACAGTGTAATTTGCCTTTAAATTTATGACAAGTTAAGTAGTCCTACATATTGCATAGATGTACATTGAACTAACTTTAAAAAAAATTTCTTTAATAGCTAGGTAAATTTTTGGAATTTAACATCATTTTCTTACCAATACGAAGATATTCAAGAATCATTCTAACTTATACTTGATGTAGAATTCACTTCTTGATGTATATGTTCTAGAATCAAAATGTTAAAACTCACTACAAGGTTCACACATCTGGGCACATTATTTGATCTTGAAGATGGCTACCCTGTGTACAATCTATGTGGCCAGAAATAGCCCTTTGGGAACAGTCACCTTTTTTCCATTTGCACATTAATTTTAGATCCTCAGTTATGAAAACTATGGCTACTGAATGTACTTTTATTTGTGACTCTCTTAGTTACTGTGACAGTCAAGCCTTTGTTTAAATAAAAACAAATTCACTTTTTATAATTGCTCAGTAGACATTATTTCCCAAAGATCCACTATTGTGCCAGATTGCTTGAGTATTAAAATTTCTTTGCTTCACCTACTTCAGTTTTCTACTCTAGCTTCTTGGGGGACAGGGGGACAAAGGGATTATCTCACCAGCTCCTTAAGGTTTATAACTATAACCAAAACCAGTTTTCATTTGAAATAGAGAACCTGCTATTATATCTTACTTCCAAATTTACCCCCTGCTACATTTTATTCATTTCTGAACCACAGAATTCAAGGAGAAGGTATTGATTGATTTTAGCTGGTAATTTGGGAAGGACCTAATATTTAATAGGAAGTTGGGAGGTCTCTGTCTTAGATTAATACTAGACTCAGGGTAATAAAAATGTATGTTGATATAATACTGAGTTTGTAATTGTTTGCATGCTGTCTAATTAGCACACTTCCCTAACCATATTGATTTTTTTTAGCACTACATTTTAAAGCGTTACAGTGCACTTATAAGTCAACTCTATTTTCACAAATGCACTTAACAGCTGGGTGGAAAGTTAACAAAAGGATTTTAGGTCTTGCCCTTCTTTGCATATTGATGTCTCCGCAGAGACTATGCCTTCCAACCAATGACTACAGCTGTTTGGGTTGTGACATCTCAAATGCACCGCCAATTAGTTAAATTACTATTCAGGTTCTTAATGAGGATAAACATTGGATTTTAAACCCCGTTGCATATCTGCCTTGAATACCAGCTTTAGGGGCATATTGCCTTCAGGCAGATACATCAACCTTCCACATTACACTCCTCTTATTTACTGTATTTTGAGTGGGTAGGCCCCCCTGAAATGCATAGTATGCTCTGTCTACAAAATGTCTTAAATGTCTGAATAAAATTGAAAACACTGAATTTTAAAGAATTGATTTTGGGGAAGGATGTGAACCACTTATAGGGGATAGACGTGATTTGGGCTTGGATTCTATGAAACATTCAAATCCTGAGAGCCATGGATGGCTTTTTACCTTTTACCTAATACTAAAAGGTACAAAGTGTAATATAATGAATACCCATATGCCTGTCAATCGGTTTAAGAAATACAAGTTATCAACACGTTTGATATCCCGTGTATCCCTCCTCAGTTTTGTCAGCCAAGACCCAAAAGTAATCAGGATTGTCAATTTCTGTTTATCATTGTCTTGCATTTCTTTATACTTGTAACACATATGTAGGTATTTCTAGACTATATGTAGTATTATCTTGCATGTTTTATACTTTATGTGTGTATCAGTTTGCTTTCTTCCCTAGAAATAATGTATGATTCATCAATATGAATGCCTATAACTCCATTCATTTTCACAGTTGTAGTACTAGCTTGTAGCAAGGTCTTTTTTCATCTTCTGACCTGTTAGGGGAAAAAAAGCTTGAGCATTTCAGTAAGGGACCAATTTTAATTAAATTCTATTCAGAGAAAGCCTACCTGGGCAAGCAGATCACTTAATCTAAATAAACTTGGTATTAACAAGACTAAAAAATATCTTACCTCAAAATTAATACATCCTCCCGGAATAAAGATGCAAAGGTAGAGAATGGACTTGAGGACGGGGCCGTGGGATAGGGTAAGCTGGAACGAAGTGAAAGAGTAGCATTGACACGACCAAATGTAAAATAGATAGCTAGTGGGAAGCAGCTGCATAGCACAAGAAGATCAGCTCGGTGCTTTGTGACCACCTAGAGGGGTGGGATAGGGAGGGTGGGAGGGAGGCGCAAGAGGGAGGAGATATGGGGATATATGTATACGTATAGTTGATTCACTTTGTTGTACAACAGAAACTAACACACCATTTGTAAAGCAATTACACTCCAGTAAAGATGTTAAAAAAAATTAACATGTCCTCATTGTGGAAATTTTCAAATGCTCAAAAAAGAAACATGAATAAACAAAATTACCTGTGATTCTCCACCTAAGAGAACAACAGTTAACATTTTAGCATATAGCTAGTTGATTTGTTTCCATGCACATATATATTTAGACAAAAATGAGAGTGTATACATACTATGCGGTAATTGCCTTTTAAAAAGCTGACAATATATTGTGCATGTTTTTCTATATTCTTAAATATTCTTCTAAAACATATTTGATTCCCAGAGCATATTCCACTTTAAAAAATGCAATAAATTGTGTAGCCATGTATTTCTGATTGTTAGTTATTTCCAGGTTTCATGAGTTAGTTTTTTATAAAAAACTTCTGAATGTGTTTGTTAAGCAATATTTATATTTCCATAACATGTTTTCTCAGAAGTACAGTTGCTGGATCAAAGGAATTTTGGGAAAAAGCTTCATGGAAATTGCTTAACTTAATAGTTCACAGAAAAGAAAATTTTTCTACATTAAGAGCAGCTGCCCTCCAGCTTCTCGAGGAGCTTATTAAAATGTTGTTAAAATTGAAGATAAGTGACATCATATAACTTTCACATTTAAATGCAGAGATGAAGGCTGCTTAAGAATAATGTTTTGAAGCTTTGCTAATGACTTCTTTCCTATAATTGTTACAAGGTACGAGAATCCTCCAAAAGTCTTAGAGGTGCACAGAAATTAGTTTCTCGTGTGTTTGGGGAAGAGATTCTTATTCCCGTAAACGGTTTCTGTTGAATATTGGATTGCTTTCTTTTCCCCTTCTCATTAAGAAAAGAATAAAAAGTTTAATTACTAATGTATTCAATTCCTTACAAAGGGAAGAAGGGAAGGGGAGGGGGAAAATCAACAATAATGTCCTCAGTTACTGCATTTGTACAGCAGCTCCTGAATCTTTTCTAAGAGTCCTGGGCATAAGGAATTCTAGAACAGTGTGGCAGTAGGGCTTAAATTAGAAATATTTCTGTGAGCTGTTTCCATTTTGAAAGGGCTGACTGCTATGCAATCTTTTTAATTAAGGTCCAGACTATAAAAATAAAACACTCTGGAGATGAGAAATTGTTGAAGACTTAAGAACTTGAGTTATTTAAAGCGTCCCATTAGTATATGCAGAACAACTTTATATGCCAATTTGAAGATCACAGAATACAGAATTGAGTTTAATATTAGTCACTACTCATTATTTAATTAACTGGGGAGATTCTTTTATGATCAAGGCAACTCTTGCTACTCTAAATAAAAGCTTTAGGTGAATAAACCACATAAATATATTGTTACTGATCTTTTAAAATTGATATATAACATACAATAAGGTATACAGATTGTCAGTGTACAACTCAATAAAAATTGACACATAGATAACCCCCACTCTGATCACGAGACAGAACATTTCCAGCGCCCTAGAACGCTCTCTATCCCAGTCAATACCACCCCTTCCTCAAGGTAACCACTACTCTGACTTCTATCAATATTGCCAGTTTTTGATCTTCATATGAATGAAATCACACAGTTGTAGCGTTTTGTTTTTGGTCTGTTTTTGAGATTTATCCAAATTGTTGCATGTAGCAGTACTTTGTTTTTGGTTTTTTTGTTTATTTTTGTTGTTGTGTAGTAGTCTATTGTATGTATATTCCACAATTTATTCAATTGTTAATGGACATTTGGATTTTTCCAGTTT